GTCCTCTCTGCTGCAGTTGATACAGTCTCATGGGTTTTATGTTCTTCCATTGCACACATCATGCAAACACACTGCTGGTCAGTACGACAGAAAACCTCCAGAAGCTTATTATGTTGACAGCAGATCATCTGCTGCAGTCGTCCAGTGGCATCAGTCACTTTGTGTCTCTTTCCTGAGCGAAACTTCTGATGAAGCTCAAAGTGAGTTTGACAGTAAGACTCCAGACACACCAGACAGGACTTGACGGCTTTGTGTTTTCTCCCAGTACAGATGTCACACTCCACGTCTCCAGGTGGAGCAGGAACAGCAGCTTTTAGTTCGGTCTTCAGTTTCTCCACCACTTCAGCCAGCATGGTGTTTTTGCTTATAGTAGGTCTTGGACTGAAGGTCTGTCTGCACTGAGGGCAGTTGTAGACTCTCTTCTGATTCTCCTGATCCCAGCAGTCTGTAATGCAGCTCATACAGTAACTGTGTCCACAGGCAATGGCCACTGGGTCCTTCAGGAGATCCAGAAACACTGGACAGCTGAACTGCTCCTCTGAAACAGTGGCTTCAGCCATTTCACTGCATCTACACCAATACATATAACAGCAGATCAGTTTCAGTTTCTTTTGACTGAGCTTCCTGGTTCTGTGTTTGAGAGATGTGTGCAAAACAGGCGTGTCTGTAAACAACTCACACACTGAAATGTCCACTAGGTGTCGGCCTCATGCAGAAACTGTTAACGTGTATATAATACCCTCGTCTTTGAGGATGATAACGGTGATAGAAACAAGCTTGATGATGTACTAGCCAAATTTACTGCTCACTGTTTACCTAAAAAGAATGAAACTAATAAGACATGTCTCCCTGCATGCTGCATTAAACATTGTTTGATAGTTTCTTAATGGCATCGTAACCTGCGAGAGTGCGCTGGGATCGGAGACAATCCAAAGTGCGCAGTCATCAGTTAATGCAGGGGAGAATGGGGTATGGTTGTAACAAGCTGTAACACCCCCAGTTCCACCAATCAGGGATAAGATAGGAGTCACATTATCAGTGTGTGGACCCACCAGAGTTGCCAAGTCCGCATATTATACGCGATTTTGGACTTATTTTTTTGTAAAGTTGCGTGGAAAAATCCAGGGTCGGGGGGTTGCGGATTTTTGGACTTGTTTAAAAAAAAATATGGTTGCTCGTTAGGAAAACCTGACAAGCAACTTCGTTTCTTTTTATTTATGTTCACTGTATTCTCCAGCGCATTGATTGACACTCTGTCTGCTCACAGTTAATAGCCAATCAGTGCAAAAATATAAGTGCTGTAGCATAATGTGCCAAATATTCCGCCCCCTCCTCACGCGCCTTCTTTTTGAACGTGATTTTTCTTCAATGAGGGATTGGAGACAAATCACGTTCAAAAAGAAGGCGCGAGACGCTGTAATCCAAGCGATGATAGAAGTAGACGTAGAGGAGTCTTTTCTTTTATAAGGTAGTCTAATTTTTTTTATTTTTACAATGTTTTTGTAATGCATTAATTATCACGCGCTGTAATAGAAAAAAAAAAACAAGTAGACCTATATTAATACTAAGAGTAAATATGGTTCAAATAGCCAATATTTTAGTAGGCTCTATGTTACAGCTCCCCTTTGAAGCTCTTGTGTTTTTCTCCTTCATCTCTCCAATCCTATTCTGCTCACAGGTGATTGGAGATGAGTTTTGTTCCATGCTTTGCTGCAGTTTGCTGATTTTTGTAAAATAACTTGTGTTTTTGCTTTTCATATAAAATGGTAGTTTCTACGGAGCCCCTAAAGGGACATGGCGGTGAAAAAAAATCAGATTAAGTGAAAAAATTTGGGGTGGGAGGAAAAAATATTTGTCAGATTTTTTTGCGTTCTCTCGCAAAACTTTTGCGTTCTCTAAATGCTTAATTAATGGACTAAGATAGTGGTATAAAAAGGCCAAATATGCTTTAGAATTTATTAAAAATATATTCTGTGTACATGCAAGCAGATGAGCCCATATGAGCTGAATTGCATGATAAGCGTTTTCTTCCCCATAGAAAACCGCGCTTAACGAGGCTTAATATAAGAAGACAGTGATATAAAAAGCCCAAATTTTATATTTTATTAAAAATATACTACAGGCAATCAACGCAGTAATCCATTAAGCCAGTGGTTCTCAAACCTTTTACAATGGCGTACCCTCTAGGGCATTTAGCCTAACATTCTTCTGAGTACCCCAACTTAGACCGCAGTCACACCTTTTCCATTAAGGGGCAATATTTGCCCCCTTAAATATATTTACTTGTGCATTTTTACTGTAATAGAGGCAAAGTTTTTATTACTTGTATGTCATCTTTTATGTCATATTCTTCACATTTCATTAAGTGTATTATTAATATAATAAATAAAGCAATAAATGATGGCAAAACGAAGTTATACTTGTAGATTCAAAACTAAAATCGCCAGTAGGTGGCGACAAGTCACTGTCTAATGAGCAATGCGACGCATTCGTTCATTCAGTAACGAAGCAAATGGTTGTAGTTATGAAAGGGTTATTAATCAGTTCCGATTATCAGTACTCTCCGACCCTTACAAAAAAATCCTGCAGTCATTCCTGAAGGAAAAAT